TTATGTGGGAGCCCAGCGACATAGCCATTACGCTAACTGCTGGTTCCCTACTGAGTGTATCTTCTGCCTACATCCTGGCAGCTGCTGCTGCTTTCCTTTTTAAAGTTTCTTTCTTTTCTCTAAATAGTTATTTATTTTATTAATTATTATTATTATTACTACTATTATTTTCACATGAGTTTTGCCAGAGAAAGAAAGAGAGCGCAAGCAAGCCACCAGGTCTAGGACTCGAACTGTAGTCAGCCATGTGGGAGTCTAGCGCCTTAACTACCAAGCCACCTGTCAGCCCCAAGTTTGTTTACTTCTTTCATGAAGGAGAGAGAAACACACCCCCAACAGGGTTTTGACACCTCAATCCACCCCCCAGCCTCAGCAAGCCCAGATCATGGTCAAGTGTGCTCCTGGCATACTCAGAGGGGTCTCTAGACTCAACTTCCCCGTGTGCTCACAGAGCACCATGCTTTACTTACTGCTCACCTAGGAGCAGCTTCTGTGTGCTCTACGGAGCTGTAGGTTTCCCTTCTCAAAGGCTGGAGAGCAGCGAGAGAGCTATTTCTACAGGATAGGAGCTGACCCAGGGCTGGACAGATATTCACTCTGGAAGCCAACTTCAAAAGGCCTGTGGGGGGAGGAAAACATCTCGTGATCTGGTAACTTTAAAAGAAAGATAACTTGAGAAGGATGAGAAGCTTCCAAGAGTGAAACTCTCAACCAGATTTTAGGCTATCCAGAAAGAAGATGTTGTTTGGAAGAAAAAAAAAAGATGAAACAAACAATAAAACATACTAAATCAAAATAATAAATCAAAAAAAGTTTTGTATAACAACCTGGAAAGATATCACCTAGATACTGTCATTACTGCCTATGTCTTGGTGTTGAAATAAGTAACTTTTATTGTCTTTTGTTTCTCTGTTATCATACATTTCTACGATTAATGTTTATTACTTTAATAATAGTAGTATTAGGTCCAGATGGTGATGTAGCAATAATGCTATACCCTGCAGTGCTGGACCCCCACAGGAGGGTTGTGGGTTCGTGTCATGCGGTCTCCCTGTACGAGCCTGGCTGGCTGAGGCAGGCAGTGGATCATGGTGTAAGGACCCTGGTGAGGGTGCCTGTCATGTTTTCTCTCTCTTTCTCAGCTTTCTAATGGAAGAAATAAAGAAACATGAAAAGAACAGTGACAATAATATCAATTTGTAAAATACCTATCAAAGAGAAAGGGAATATTGTTTGCAGCTCCATGTGGTGCATTTAACAAGGATATTTAGAAAGTAGTCCTTATCCAGAATACCGTGTGTGGTGTGTGTGTGTGTGTGTGTGTGTGTGTGTGTGTGTGTGCATGCATGTCTGTCTGTCTGTTTGTCTGTCTCTGTCTTTTATTGGGGTGAAACCAGAACAGAAGACTAGAAATGGCTGGCACACAGATTTGGGCTCAATGAATGGCAGGAAGAACTTTCTAGTAGGTGGAGCTGATGCCCAGGGAGAATGCTATTCTGTGAGAGAGTGAGTTGAGTGAGGGGGTGGAAGAAGAGCTGATTGTCCCCCCTGTGAGATATTTAGTGTTGAGAGGAAACTCTGTCAGCAGTGATGTGGGGAGTTGGAGTAGGTGACCTCCTGGAGTCTGTTTGATCGGTTCTCTAGTTCTACAACACTTTGGTAATAATTCAGTCCATTTGCACAATAATAATCAGAGGAACATTAGTCTCATGGAATAATTCAAGGCAATTTTACTAAATGTGTCCTTGCACACAGCAGGTACATACATGATTTCTTGAGTGGATTGGCCGCGTGTGCTGTGTAAATGTGGTTCAGTAAATGACTCAACTCTTCCCTAAAATTGAGTCTTGCTAAGAGCAGCTGAAGGGAAGAGGGCAGTGTCTCCAGCATGGAGAGACTATTAGTTTTGTGGTAGGAGAAACACTAGACAATGGACGGCAAAGTAAAGACAGATACACTCATACAAGTGAAACAAGAGCTTTGAAGGCTAAGGGGACTTCAGAAAACTCATGGAAAAATGACATTGAGTTAATTTTGGTGCCAAAAAAAAGTTGAAATCCAAGCATAGTTTTTTCATAATATTCATTTTTCATGAACTTTTTGAAGACCTGTCGTGAATAAAGTAGCCTTCGATAATTAAAAAAAAAAATTTCAACAAGAACCTCAAAAGGGGTGAACATATTTAAGCATTTGAAAGGTTATATAGATACTACATGAATAGCCACCATGTTTTTCTTTTTTTCTGTCTCTTTTTTGTTTTCTCCTTGAGAATAATAAGATAATTCAGGTATCATGAGAAATTGATAGGGAGAGAACTGAGAACAGCTCTGACTCTCAAACAAATAGACACAGAAGCCAATGAAATCCGAAGCTAAAGAATCAAATAGGATGGCAGACAGGAAGGAGGCCCATAACAATTTTTCCAACAAAGCTGGTTTGATAAGAAAACCTAATTGGCTTAATATGATAATGGCAGACGGATGTAGTTTTCAACTTCAGAGCATTCCAAAGACTAGAGTTAGACAGTTAGAAGATCTGGCTGGGAACCAGTGGAAATGTTCATTATTCTTTACAGTGTATCACCCAGGACTTATCAAGATTGGAGTTGGGAGGATTCTTTTTTCCTAATATTGTTTTCATAAAGTCAACATCTCAAGTTAAGGGGAGTTATTAGTCTCTAAAGCTACCATTTATCTACAACTAGTGCAAATATTTTAGGGTTTGTTTTTAATCTCATAAGATAGTACTTGAAAAACATGAAGCCATCATGCTTGTTACCTTTTTTTTTTTCTGTCTGTAGGGTGTGTGTTCTCCCCAGAGAGAGACAAAGACCATGAGAGGGGAAGTGAGAAATCACCTTCTGGGGAGATGGCCTCCCAGCACTGTCTTTTTTTCCATTCTCCTCTTGTGATTTTGGGCATGCACGCCCACATGCATGGTGTGATTCTCAAGTTGCCAGGGCTGGAGCTCAACCCATGGTTGACCACAAGGGAGTCCAGCATCTTAACCACCATGCCACCTGCTGGCCCTACTTTAGGCTACTTTTGAAAAGCTCTCTCTTGTTCTTCCATTTCCCATGAAATTGTTACTTTAGAGCAATTCCTACTCAATTCTGCTTTCATGGTATTGAGAAGCTGAAAGTATTGTTCTACCTAATGGTTCTGTCTTGTGGAGCCAGTCAGCCCTGGTTCATACCCTGGCTTTCCCACTTACTAGCCATACGACCTTGGGCAAGTTACATAAGCTCAGCATAGCTCAGTTTTTCTTATCTGTATAATGGGTATCACAGGGGTTGTATGAAAATTAAACCAGGGAACCAGCAGTTAGCGTAATGGCTATGTCGCTGGACTCCCACGTAGTCGACCGCGGTTCGTGTCCCGGACCCGGTGGCTTAAAACTCACGCCGGGCGCATGTGCGTGCGTGCCCAAGATCCCGAGAGGAGAATGGAGGAGAAGGGATTGCGGCGTGACCATCCCCCGGGGGGTGATTTCTTGCTTTCTGTCTCTATGTCTCTCTCTGTCTGTCTGGCGAGCGCACGCGCCCTACAGTGAAAATCTCTCCAAAAAAAAAAAAAAATTAAACCAGATGGAAATCATTAGCCAGATGGCTGGCATTTTGTAGGTCCTTAATAAATATTGTGTTTAGGGACCAGCAGTTAGCGTAATGGTTATGTCGCTGGACTCCTATGTAGTCGACCGCGGTTCAATTCCCGGACCCGGTAGCTTAAACTCATGCCAGGCGTTTGTGCGTGTGTGCCCAAGATCCCAAGAGGGGTATGGGGGAGAAGGGATTGCCGGGTAGCCGTCCCCCCTGGGGGGTTGATTTCTTGCTTTCTCTCTGTCTCTGTCTTTCTGGCGAGCACACGCGCCCTATAGCAAAAACCTCTCCAAAAAAAGAAAGAAAAAGAAAATAACATAAAATAAATATTGTGTTTACAT